CATGGAATTTCAGAATACAGATTTTTTTTTTTTTTAAAAAGATTTACCTGTACAAGCTTCCAGAGAGAAAATACCAGTCACATGCAAAGGATCAGGTATCAAAATGGCACTGGACGTCTTCAATAGCAACACTGGGAGCCAAAAGATGATGAAGCAGTGTCTTTAAAATTCTGAGGAGAAACGATTGCCAATGTATAATCCATACTCAGTCACATGTGAGAATAAAGACTTTTTAGTCGTGAGAGTTTCCAAAATTTACTTGCCATATACTCTTTCTTAGGAAGACAACTAAAGAACGTGCTCCACCAAAACCAAGGTCAGGATAGTCAGTGCTAGCTGCAGCATTCATCTCAGCAGCTTAGCCCCCAGATGTCGACATTTCCAACATGGGTTGGCAGGGGGCTCTGCTCTACAAAGGCACTAAACATGGCAGTTATTTGTCTGTTGCCTCTTGACTTGATTCCCATCCTTCCATCCGCTCCTCTGTATTGCAGGAGGCTGGAAGACTGCAAACTACATTTCCCAGGCTCCCTTGCCAGCTGGCCTCTGGCTAGATTCTGCTAATGGGAAGCACTAAGGAGAGAGAGATGGAAGGGAAGACCTTTCCTGCTTCTCTGGTGGTTCCTTCAGTGGCTGGTGAGTCTGGGCTCCTGGGTTCTTGCTTAGGTCTCACGGTTCCAGCAGTGGCTACCACAGCCTCAATGATACAGGATTGTGGCTCTCTAGTCTCATTTTCCCCTTTGCTCCTCCAGCCCTGGGGGTACTAATCTCTGGGTAGTCCCACCTTCTCCTTCGTCATACTGCAGCCCTTTTAACAGGTTTGTAACCATTTTCCTGTATTAAATGTTATACTTAATTAGTTAAGAATTCTGCTGTTTTCCTGACTGGACTTTCAGAGGCTCAGGCTGACTGAGGTTCCACTATCCTGTAGTTGCACCATCTGGAACACGTCTCCTCCAAGGCCACATGCCAGTAGAGGAACGAGATGGAGGGGCATACCAGCTTTCAAGAGCTTTGGCTTAGAGGTAGAGGTAGCATACGCCACTTCCTTTCATAGACTTTTGGCCAAATTAATCATTTAACCCCAATTTAACTGCATGGAATTCTTGGAAATATAGGGGAGCCCATGGGATATTTGGTGAGCATTAAGCATCTCTATTACAATGAGTTAATCAAGAAAGAGCAAGATGGTGATGTGAGGAAACAGAGATTAATGCAAGAAAGAGAGTAAGAGAGGCAAAGGAAAGTTCTGGAATGATGGCAATGGAGAGTCCCAAGCTGACGGCAGCAGTCCTGAGGGCAACCTGCCCAATTTGGATCCAAAGGAAGGGGGCTCCAGAAGGGATGTCTCTGGAAACAAAATGAGAAAAATAGATTTTCTGACCAGTCTGACCAGTTGGGTTGATATTTATAGAGCCAAAGGAGGATGTGGGAAGACTTATCAGTACATCGTAAGACTGAATCAAAGAAAATTAAAAAGAAAATAAAAGAGGAGGAGTGATTAACTCTAGGGAGAACTAAGAGTTGAACAAGAAGAAAACTTATAAAAATACTTTTAATGGGCTCAGCAGTGAACACTATTTACACAGATGTTGTTATGGAAACAGTAAACATGGATTTACACAAAACTGATAAAACTGTGTTGAGAGGTGCAAAACTGCAATTATGACACTAACCAGCAGAGCTGGCACAGACTCCAAAAGTTAAGGGCATGGTCCCCAACGAGACTGCCCTTACTTCAGACACCAGCTCAATTTCAGGGGTCCCCAGGCCACCCGCACTTCTGACCAACTGGCTACAAATCCAGGAGTTTTTGTGACCCACTCAGGTTCAGTAATTCACAAGATCTACTCACAGAATTCAGGAGAGTGCTATACTTATGACTACAGTTTTATTACAAAAGATACAAAGCAAGACCAGCCATAGCCCATGAAGAGACCCAAGGTCTGAGAGAGTCCCGAACGTGGAGCTTCTGTGTCCTCTCTCTGTGGAATCAGAATGCATCACCCTCCTGCGTTTATCACCAACCAGGAAGCTCACCTGAAGCTTGGTGTCCAGAGTTTTTATTGGGATTTCATTGCATAGGCATGATTGATTGAATCATTGGCCATGTGATTGACCTCAATCTCCAGGCCCCTCCTCTCCCCAGAGGTCAGGTTGACATCACTGGCTCAAAGCCCCAACCCTGTAATCACGTGGTCAGTCTTTCTGGTGTGACCAGCCCCCACCCTGAAGCTTTCCAGTGGCCCACCACAAATAACAAAGATGTTCCTATCACCGGGAAATCCCAAGGGTTCAGAAGCTCTATCCCTGAAAACTGGGATAGAGTTTATATAAAGATCAAACAAATTATTATAAACAGGAGGATGAGAGGGAAAGTATGCATGTGTATGAGTGGTTTAAAGAGTTAAATCTGCATCTTCCAAAGTGAGATGTCAATAGATACTACCTAAGATGGAAAAACCAAGTAATAGCATTATAAACATGTTATTTAGAAATACGGCAAGAAATATCAGAAGAAACGGGAATGGACCCAGAGGTGAGGAGAGATTTTTGCTGTTGTTGCTAAAGCCTCATAGAACTCTTTGACTTACTCAGCTCGGTATGTGTATTACCTTGATAAAAACCAAAGAGAAAAAGAGGAAGAAAAAGGGTGGCTGTTGTCTGAGTCCAGTGCTCAGGTGTGGACAGGAGAAATACCCTTAGGGAGAAAACTCTGGATCTGGAAGACACCTTACTGCAGATTTTCATTATGTAAAGGTGAGCAACGAGCCTGGTGACGGAAGCAGAGCCTGCAAAGGAGTCAGAGAGGGGGTAAACCAAGAGCGAGGGGGAACCAAGCGTGTTCTCTTTCAGCAGCCACTGGAGAAGTGTTCAAAGCTGCCAAGAGGCGGAATAAGATGAGGGATTAGTGACATGGAGGTCACTGGTGATATTAGAGGGAGCTGTCCTGGCGGAGTGATGGAGTGGAGGCCAGGTTGGAGAGGGGGAAGGAGGGATAGGCAGATGGGGATATGGACAAAACTACTATGGGGCATCTTTCCAGAAAGTTTGGCCACCAAGGGCAGGAGGGAGAGGGGGTTGCACGTTTTTAAGGTGGAAGAGCCCTGAGGATGAGCAAATGCAGCTGGAAAGAAGCCAGCAGAGGGAGAGGTTGAAAATTCAAGGAGTGAGCGGATCCCGTGGATCCCCTGAGCGTGAGGTCTCCCAGGAGGCAGGAGGAGGCAGAGACAGCTCTGCTCGGGGCCCTCTCAGGGAGGGGAAGGTGCACAGCTGCTCCGTGCAGGAGAGAGATGCTCGCTTACCCTTCAATTCCTGGCTAGCAGGGTGCTGTCCTCATTCCACAGATGGAAGGTAATAGTTTGCCTCAAGTTACCCAGCTGGAAAAGGCCCCCACAAACCCAGATTTTTCTGCTTCCAAAGCTAGGTTCTTGCTGCACTTATTCCCCTGGGGAGGCAAATATGGCCCCCTGCCCTCCTGAGTTCCTAGTCTGGGGGTGAAGCCCCCACACAGAGTGCAAGCTCTTCTAGCAAGGGCCAGAGGGGAAGCCCCAAAACTCAGTGCCTGGGGGCCAGGGAGAATCACAAAATGGGACAAGGGGCCACATGTGTGGCAGTGAGGTGAGTGTGGATGCAGTAAGGAGGGAGAGGCTGTGACCACATGAGGGTTGTGTCCCCCTCCAGTAGGGCAGTCCCACACTCCACCACAGGAGCAGCTCTCTCCATCCCCAGATCTTTGGGTTTTTCAAGAGAATTTGAGTATTCTGATTTTAATGTGAACTCTCTGGATTAGCGAGTTCTGTGGAGGGCAGTACAGCAAAGTGATAGGATATTGACATGGTCCTGTCAGGCCTCCCGGAGGAGCAACCCCTGACGCAGGCAGGAAGCAGCTTGACATGTCCGGGGAGACCGCTGCACAGCGCTGTCGCTGTCGGGGAGAGGGGCCGGGAGAGGGCAGGGGATGGGGCGGCGAAGGGGGGCCAGACCACGTGGCCTTGCGGCCTTGCGCACAGAGGGAGCGAGCAGGGCTCCGGACCGAGAGGGATGAGCTTAGTTCTCCAGTTAACGTGGGTGACCCCGACGGCCCCATCTGGCCCTTTCGCGTCCCAGGCCACCGCCCCGGCTGGCACAAAACCCCGCTCCCCACAGGCCTGCCCTCGACACCCCAGGGTCCAGGAGGAGAGGTCCCAGGCGTGGAGGGGGCAGGCATCTTCATGGCCTCCTCGGCCCGGGATGGGGGCTCATTAACTGAGCGCCATCTAAGTGCTAGTTGACCACAATTTGTACCCGGGCCAGGGGCGCCCTGAGGCTGTGCCCGCCCTTCAGGGGGTGGCAGGGCCCCGGCTGGGAGCGTCCCTCTACACCCGCGCAGCGACAGTCGCCCAGCCCGACGCGCGGACGCGCGCACCCAGGGATGCGGCAGAGCGCGCGCTGCGCTCGGTCCCCGCAGGGTCCCCGCCTCGCGCCCCCGCCGCG